TATCTGAAAATAAGGGTACTCCAAATTTCCATCCATTAAACCAAATTTTTGTCAAAATATCTCATACTTTATCTTTGTAAACATAATTTGGGATATTAGGGTAGTTTTAGAAATTTCTCACGCATAGAAATAATTAGAAAGGCAATATTTGGAATCGAAATTAAAAGTATATAACATCTAATTTTTGTATTATATTGCATGTCAATGAAACTAACTCCAAGAAGGAAATGTTCGAAAATTATATATAAATGTTTTAGGGTAGGACCTGTCTTTAACAGCAAGGCAAATCTCGTGAAATTCGTAGCTTTCCTATAAAGTAGAGTAAGGTGAAAAGGAAGCCAGTGAATTGGAAAAGGCCAATCTTTTTGCCAGGAAATCCGCAACACCATTTTTTTGTTTCATATGATATACTTAATTTCAAAGAATATTGTCTACTAGGAAATAGACGATTATACACGAGATAGATAATTTGACTAAAAAGATAAAGGTGTTACATCCATCAAATCTCAACTGACACTCACCTAGACACACCAGTTTACCATCTGTGGCAGAGGAAGTTCAAACAAGAGAATGAGGTAAGACAGAAGGATGCCGAGTAGCCAGAGCGACATCAGCACACCTGGATCGATGTATCACTTGACAAGCGGTAGTGGATTTGCAAGCAATTTCTCTGTCTGTTTTGATGGATGGGAAAGCTTTATTGGTCTTTCTGTATCAACCAAAACTATTACATATCGATTTGCTCTAGCAATCTGCATTTAGAGGATCTCTTAAGAAGATTATCATTGAACATACAACACTTCGGTTGGAATAGAGGTGAACTACAGCAACTAGTTTGACAGAATGTACGTCTGACACTTAAATACATACTGAATCGAGTTGTGATTATTTTTGCCCATGGAGATTGTCTCCATGTATGAGTATGACCAATAGCGAACCCAAAAAATATTCATGGGAGGGGGCAGGGTCGAAAGTCAACCTTTTTGGTATCATGCTTCTATACGCCACCCAACATATTATTTTTTGTCGATTTTCGGGAACAAAAACAATTCAAAATTAGTTATTGAATAAATAATTAACATTATTTCATAAAATTAATTATTAATAACAAATACATAATTAAATTTTACGTAATATATACATAGGATTATAACCAATCGAAAAAATTTAAGGGCTATGGGGGGCGGACCCTAGGACCCTCCTTGTGTGCGCCACTGAGAATGACACTAACTATGTGACACATGTTAAATAATACAGCATCTGTGAATCGTCTCACGAAGTTAAAAGTGATATCATAGTTTGGGATGCCTTTGCGTACCATGGTAGATTACCTGAGGTTTGTATTCAGACCCCAATGCCGGTTTAAAGATATGCAGAAGTTATGCTGAGTACAATGATTTCCCTCTTCATACGGGATTTCCAAGTACCTTTTACCAGAAGAATACCATCCGACTGCGCATTACTCGCATCCTTTAACGTGCTTTGAAAGATATACTGATTGATTCCTTTCCACCATATTTACTTTTCTGATCTCTCACCAATCAAACACGATTTGGACGTAATTGGGCCTAATGTCATACCTTTTCACCAACGCATTTAGAAGAAATGTGACATGTGGTTGGCAGGGAATCAATAGTCAACTCTCAAGACGCCATCTGTACTCTCATTGACTAATTAACAACATGTATTCATTTGTGTATCTTCGTCCCCAGCGAGGGTTGACGTTATTCCGGCTGTGTAACGAGTATTATTTGAAAATAATCATCAGTTATTGTTTATTGATGTAACTCTCTGTTTGCCGATTATCTTCACTTTCTAGCCCTTCCAATTTACAAATGTATTTCAATTTCACGTGGTGAAAATGAAGTAGTACATGTAAGCAATACATGATTTGATACGAATAAATACAGAATAAACATTTACTAATATTTCTCTTGCAGTTGAATTTGATATTTTAAATAAAATCTTATATCATTTACAAGAAACATTTTGTGTAAGGCTATTGCAGATATGCTGAATATTCCGTTCCGATATCTTTTTAGAAAATATATTGGATAAGATATATGCTCATAATTTGAGGTATACTTGCGATTTTTGCTTGCATACATTCACTTTAATGGGGCATATTTCTTTCTCCCATTGATGTGCTGAAAGTAATATTTCTATAAGAAACGCAAAGCTTCCTTTTCTCCTCTTTTTTCCTCTAAAGGCGAAATCAGTGAGAAAAAAAGCTTTTATGTCTTCGAAAGCTATGCTATTTACTGTTATTCTACATTTTTTGTGGGTATGAGAGCTACATTGCAGTCTTTAGTGTAGCTACATGTTTTTATAGCATGTTTAGCCTTTAATGTTATACAACAAAGATAAAAAATATTTTGTATATAATATATTTAATACTAGTTTTGGTGTCGATTGTGAATGCCTAGGTAATGCCTACTACGAATATTGCTTCAATGATTTTTATCTAAGAAGTCTTTATGAATAATTTATTAAACAATTCCAAACATTTTACAAATTATGAATAATAATATACTATGATTATTATTGTTGTACACTAATGACTAAATTCTTATTTTTGAATAAAATGAGAAATTCTACATGCTATAGAGAAAGAGTATTAAATATGTGTAGTGGATAGCTACATAAGCCAGTAACAGCCTCCGGATCACTTTTGTATATTAGAACGTTACGTGCTTACGAATCAGAAGGTATCGAGTTCTATCCACCTCATTGGAGACCTTGGCATAGAACTAAGAAAAACGCAACCTTCACGCAGCTGTCGTGGCACCATCTATCCACCGCAAAAGCAATCAAAAGTTGCCACATCCATTCGACGCAGCAACCAAAGCCAGACTCACTGAATGTAACAACAACTACCCACACGCTGTCCATAACAACTATCCGTTCGCTTATCGACTGACTCACTGGTGGGGAGTAATGTAGGGGATAACTACAAAAGGTAGTAACAGACACCTGACAGAGGTCCTGTCTTTTGTCCAGTGATATGTTAAGTGCTTACGAATTAGAAAGTATCGAGTTCTATCCACCTCATTAGAGACCTTGACATTGAACTAATGAAAACACAACCTTCACGCAGCTGTCGTGGCACCATCTATCCACTGCAAGAGCAATCAAAAGTTGCCACATCCATTCGACGCAGCAACCAAAGCCAGACTCACTTAATGTAACAGCAACTACTCACACGCTGTCCATAACAACTATTCGTTCGCCTATCCGCTGATTCACTGGTGGAGAGTAATGTAGCGGATAACTACATAAACTAGTAACAATCACCTGACAGAGGTCCAATCTTTTGTCAGACACTTTTCTCCAGTGATATGTTACGTGCTTACGAATCATTAGGTACCGAGTTATATCCTCCTCACTTTTTTGGGGATTTATTTTTTAAATAGTTGCGGGAGGCTTATCAGCACAATTTTGCCCCATGACACCACTCAGCTACTTTGGAACCTAATATTTGTCGAATTTTAATACGCCAGAAAAAGAAAAATTTATACTAGTTCTGTTCTGTATATTTTTTCTTTTTTATCTTGGTTCATTACTTTAAATGGCGAAATATTTTAATTAAGAAGTGATACAATGAATGCATCAGGATTTTTATCTACTTTATTTTACATTGTTAGGTTTTCCAATTTGAGGAATACTTTCAAAAATATAACTTAGTTTTTAAATTTGTGAAAGTATACTGTTCTCGAAATCAAATGTAAAAGTAAAAAGAAATATATTTTTAAGCTGGTTTTAAATAATATTATGTATAATTTTAATTGAAATTGGGCGTTCAATTGAATTTTTTTTAAAAAAATTTTATTTTTGCATACTATATGATAAATTCGAAATTGATGTTTTGTTAAGATTCTAACATTGCTAAGAATTATTTTAGTTATTTCTAAAAGTTACGAACTAATGGAAATATATTGGTCGCATAAATTTTCTGAAATATTCATTCGCAGATGGTTGTTTGGAATCTGTTGCGGAACAAAAATGTATCTTCGAAAAAACAATTCACACAAACACATATTCTTAGAGAATGAGTTAATACGTAAATAGTTTATTAAAGTGAACTGACATTTTTTCCTTACCCATATTTTTAGGAAATAGATATTTAGACACAGCTAAGTATTTCATAAAACACTTAGATATTTTTTGTTCTGAAGTTTTCCATGTTTGTGGATGCAATGCGATGCATTTCATTTTTTTTAAATCTATAGAATTTTCTTTTTTTAATATTGGATATATATATTTTTTTCTTAATTAAACTAGATATTGTCCTCTCGCATTATTTAAATAAATATATCAAAATATTATGATACTTAAAAATGCTTCAAAGGCTACAAAATTTGCCGTATTATAATTTTAAAATAAATACATATGAGTTTTATTAAAATTAAAAGAAAACATTATTTTATTTTATATATAAATAAAAAATGCGTAACTCTTTTATCGAATTCCCTTTTTGTTTCATGGGATTTTCTTATTTTGTACAACACATTGTAAAAATTATTTTATTAATTTACTTATATAAGAAGCAAAAGTATTTGAAAGACAATAGCATTTAATATTACTATATTTAATGTGTGTATTCTTTTAATCAGACAACGTGTGATTCAAAATGCAACGTTATTTTTTTAGGAAGAGTAATTTTATTATACCCAGCTAATTATTAGCAGATCGTAAAACCCAACATTTTTTTCTTCTATTTTTTCAATTCGTACTGTTAGTTTACACTCTCCTTATATATATATATATATATATATATATATATATATATATATCTTGTTCAAATTTGTAAGCGTTAATAGAATACATTTTATTCATCCATTCAAGTTCAAATACAATTTTTTAAACTTGTAGTGAATGATGCTTGTTCTTAATACAGATTTTTTGAATATTAATTAATTAATTACATTCAATTAAGAATAAATAGTAACAAACAAAATAATAGTCAGGCACCATAAATAGAAAAGAAAACCGCTCGTTGTGTCTCTGTAGCGCAATGGATAGCGTAGCGGAATTTTAATCCACAGGTCGTGGGCTCGAATCCCACCTGGGATGGCTTAATTTCTGAGAATGTCGTTTTTACTATACTATTTTATTCGAATAATTAAATTTAATTAATAAATAACTCGTAACAAACAAAAATAATAATCCAACACCCTCTATAGAAAGGAAGGAGGAAAATCATTTTCTATTTTGCCACTTAATCTTCTGATTCTGTCATATGTATATACATAGTTATATTAATCGTAACTACTGAATGAAAAGTGACTGAAATAAAATTTTTCTTTGTTGACTTGAATAGGAATTGTCATACTTTTTTTCATATTACTTTTTTCTATTTTTATAAAATGTGTCTCGTTGTCTGAAAAATAAGTTATTTAAATAAATAACGAAATAAGAACAACTATGGGTACGATACTATTTATTTTTATCGAAACGAAAATATTTCCTTCAGGTATATATGTATAAAGGCTATTTTAAAAAATACTTCCAAACTAAATATTTTCCCCAAAAGACTTTTAATCATGGACTGTGAAAGTATGCAGTTACTAAGTAAATGTTCAATGTAAAATCTAGTGAAGTATTGCAAGTTTGTTTCTTGAAGGGAACATAATTTATCAGAGTACACTTAGGATTTACTACGAGAATTAACACATCTCCTCCAAAAGAATATCAGTACTTAAGAAACTTTTTGTTTTCATTTTTAAATGTCTGTGTCAACCTGAAAACGACTAAATCCCAGGTTTTGTCATTTAATTCTAGGTGCACTAGTGTTATATAGTCACCTTTTCAGCGTTTGTAAAAGTTTATCTCGAGGCGTTAATTTTCTTAATGATGAATTTAACACAATTTCCTTTAAGGGAGTTTAACATTATTCTATATATTTTAAATTTACATTAAAAAGGAACATTGTGTCAACCTATCGCAGAACAAGATAATTTTAATTAACAATTAAACATAATATTTTTCTTCCTATGTGCGGTCTTTATCATTATATTACAATTTTTATAACTTTTATGGATTTATGCGCATTATATAACTAACTAAAATGTTTTATTAATAACTTATCAACATCCCTTTACTTTATTAAATTCTATACGAGTAAATAAACAACATAATAAAAATATGATGTTTATTGTTGACCAGAAATCATTAATATACTTAAGAGTTAACCATAAAATATTTAAAGAGATCAATTTGAAATAAGTATATATATATATATATATATATATATATATAAATATAAATATTTACGTAAGTAGACCACTTTTGATACTTTATGATTATGACGTGTTGTATACTTACAATTGAAAATTAAATTCTTTAAAAAATAATCTATAATTGTATTTTTTAAATCTTATTTTAGTCAAGAACTCTAGTGCGATGACGAGGGAAGATTGACAACAACCATATCGTAAATATAAGCCCTTTTACATTACTGTGGCTATTTTGTTTTGCTATGTATTAGTATTGTTTTTCTGTGTTTTTTGTTTTACTTTAAGTTATAATGATAGTTGTTTAGTACATGTATATATATAATATATATGTGTGTGTGGTGCCGGCGGTTATTTACAAGCCCCACCACTAACTGCTAGGGTTATGCTGAGTGTTATGGGAGCCTGGCTGTCTGTAGACGCACCTTCTAACACGACGTTGAAGTGAGCCGACGCCATAAAAACGAGGCACGACGCCATTGAAGGAAGGTGTAGGCATGGACGAAATGACAAACTGAGAAAGACACACACACACACATATATATATATATATAGATATATATATATATATATATAATATATAACATGTTTGTATTAATCAATCGATTTTAATCGTGTTCGTGTTTTTTTTATTGGATTCTTTCTGTGCAACCATTCTTTATCTTTTATATGCAAAAATGATTATTATTCACTGCATCATGCTAGATATTTTTCCATTCCAAACAAAATACCCTTGTGCAAACACATTGTGGGATTAAAAATATTATCGTTTCCGTAGTCTAAATGCTAAAACGTTTCAAATGATTAATTTCGTCGTGGTCAGATGTTCCGTATTTGAAGGTAATATGCTTCAGTTGGTATTAGAAATAGTGATACAAAAGACTTCTCACTAACTTCTTTAGAATGCTTTCAGGTATTTCAATGAATCTGTGCAGGATTCTTTTGACACATCTACCTTGTAAGAATTAACAAAATGTATGAAAAAAAAATATTCTGTTAATTGGTAGTAGTATTCATGTTAGAACTATTTTGCATATGTAAGGATTGTTTCTTATATTTTCGTGTAAAAATGATATTAATTTGAATTGTAAGCATACAAATTTTAGTGAATTTTTTATGTGATTTATAGAAATTATATTTAGTGTTTGAGATATTTAAAGAATATAAATATTCTAAATAGAAGCATTTTAAAGGAAAACGTTAGCTATATATAAAAAAAGTGAAACATGCAGAGGAAGTCTACGTAATTTTTGGAAAAAAATCAGAAGTTTCCGTTATATTACTTGGATCTAAATGGTTATTAATCTGTCTGATAATAAAAAATTGTTCTGTCTTATAATTCAATTATAGAGTTTTATGAATATCTTTTTTCCGTACTTCAAAAAGTAAACCGATACATATGCTTGTATGATTATACTTATTTATAAATTTTGGAAATTTCATATTTTAATGTGCGTGTTCTGTTACTTAACATTGCATTGAGTGATCAAAAAACTCCATTTATATCCTAACTGTGTTTAGCTTGTTATTTATTCAGTAAAATGAATTTATTAAATTTTTGATAAGTAAAAAATATTAATTCTTAGTTATATTTTGAGAAGGATTTTTCTTAAAAAAAAAAGAGAAATGTGATGGTATAAAAATTAGTTTTAAAGTTTTATATAGTTTCAGCGGAGGTTAATTGTTTTGCTTAGCATATAAATTTAGTAAGTACACTATATATATATATATATATATATATATATATATATATATATATATATATATATATATATTATATATATATATATTATATATATATATATATATATATTATATATATTATATATATATATATATATATATATATATATATATATATATATATATATATATATATATACAGGGTGCCCAGCCTTAAAGAGACCTAATTCCCGAACCTTTCAGTTTAGACACGCGCTTCCAAATTAAAAAAATGTTTTTAAAAAGGTAAATAATGTTTTTACGAACTTTTCGAACCATTTAGAAAAAAATTACAAAAATTACATTTTTATACGGTCCCCAGGTCCTATCACTTATATTTAGGAAAAGATGATGTACACAGAAACAAAGTAAACACAAAAAGTTTCATGTTAGTACGATAAAAACTGGCTGAGTTATGGATTTCTTAAAATCATACATCTCATGCATTTTCTAGGCCATTTTCAAGAAGCTAGTAAGGGGCCGTCTCCAAAGTGAAATTAATTGGAACTTCGCCAGGAAACTTTCACTCTTGCACGTCACTCTCATGTAAATCGTTTTTAAATTTGAAAAGTTTAGTATTACAATAATTGAGTACTTAAGAAATAAAATTTATTATGTGTACATGTAAAACGTAAACAAAATAAAATATTTTGGAGTAAGAAAATATTTCAAAATAGTTCCAAAAATAGGTTTATTTGTTTTGGCTTCAGACAGATTTACTGCGATACTGATCACAGCGAACATTAAAAATCTGCTGTGTAATCGTTTGCGATTGCATACAGTCGTATACTAATATTACGAATTCTATTACGGGAGAACGAGATGTATACAAATAAAGAATACTGCGAAATGGTACTGTTGTATAGGCACTGTAATCGAAATAAGAGAGAGGCGGCAATACTTTATGCAATTAAATTTCCCAGTCGAAGACATCCATCTTATTGTACAAATGCCAGTGCTGTTCAACGCTTGTATAAAACTGGGAGTTGCCATAGACGTATTTCCTTATCTCGTGCCACACCTTCAGAGGATACCCACTGAGGATGTTGTAGAATATGCCCTGGCTCATCCTGAAAGTAGTGTCCGGGATATTAGCAAGTCTTGTTCCTACTCAAAAGCGACGATGTAGAACATATTACATACGTGCGGCATATTCTTATCGTCCAGTCCTGGCGCAGGAACTAATGCCCGGAGACCAGGAACGTCGTTTTGATTGTTGCAATTTCGTGTTAAACATACTGAATGAAAATCCATATTTGTTTAAGAAGTTTTGTGGTAGAATGAATGCCAGTTTTCGAGGCAAGGCACTATTAATACACATAATAAGCATTATTGTTCCCTCGAAAACCCACATCTAAAACGACCGAATCGCCACCAAGAGCGTTCGTCGTTGAATGTGTGATGCGGGATGTGTTAGAGCACGTTAATTGGCCCAATATATTTCGATGGACCTTTAACATCAGAATCATTCACGGAAATTTTATCTGGACCGTTAGCCTATTTTTCAGAAGATGAAGTTTCCTGATGGGATTTGTCACGCATGTGGTACCAGCATGATGTTGCCCCACACACAAATCTGCGCAACCATGTGCATTTTTGGCGTAGACATTTGACACTCGAATAATCGTCTACGGAGGTCAAGAGGTAGAAAAAGCTACAGGTGGAGTTTCTGACGCGGGTTTGGTACTGCATTTCTGCGAAAGGCAGTCATTTTGTACATTATTTTAATTTGGCCTTCCTGATATAATAAAGCCCCTGATTCATGATTGGAGCATCATTCCACATTATGCTATAATTCGAACGGCAAATCATGTATTATTTTGCTGCTATTTGTTTAAACAAGCTGTTTAAATTTTTTCGGTACATGTTGTATTTCTTTCATTTAACTTTTATTGTTTGCCATATAGCAATACAAATTATCAATCTATGATGTTAACTACGATGTTTTAATATTACTATGATGTTTTTCTTTTGATCTTTCTGTAGATAGTGAATTACTATTCTCTAAACACGATTTGTATACGACCCCCTATTCTGAGCAATTCAGATGCTTCAACTTTATGTAGGCATAACTCGATCAGTTTTTATCGTAATAAAATGAAACTTTTTGTGTTTACT